TGACAAAGGCCCATTCTTATCATTTGCCCATGCAATGCCATTACTGTCCTATGATTGCAGGCAAAGCTGCAGGCATTAAGCACTGATGTAAATGTATAGTCATCAGGCCTGGTATCATTACGTTGCATTTCACGGAACAGCTCAAATGAAAGATCAAAATCATGGACCGTGGCATAACTTGAAATCATAGTATTCCATGACACGACATCTTTATCATCCAATCCTTGGAAAATCTTGTCTGCCAGGCATATCTTGTCCCTTTTCGCATACATTGCCATCAAGGCATTGCACACCGAGGTGTCACACTCAAAACCATGGCGATACGCATAAGCATGGATCTCTAAGCCTCTCTTTGTTGTTAGATTTACCTCAGGGAGGACCAGCGTAAGCGAAACCGATGGCAGATGCTGAGCTCCATAACCACAGCCAAATGCCATTTCTCGGAGAACACCTAAGGCTTGATTCCTCTGCCCCGTATCAAGAAATCCCGATATCATCAGGTTGCCCAGGAAGCAGGTACTTATCCTGACATCACGAAACACACGGCCTGCGTACTGAACACAGGAGCTGCATATGTATCCTGCCGCCAGGGATTCCTGGAGTCGATCCAAATCCACAGGCCCAAGTCCCACGACCTCAGCGTTGCGCAGCACAAATGCGTGCAGCTCTCGGAGCACGTCCACCCCGCGCAACACCGAAATCACATGGAGCACAGTGTTAAACGTGGCCACATTAGGCACAACTCCCCCAACCGAAACCATTTTTCCTAGCAGCTCGATGGCGAGCTCTCCGTTCCCGGCACGGACGCACCCAGCGATGACGGCGTTCCAGGTGGACGCACCAATGGGGACGCCGGATTCCTCCATTGCCACCATCAGCTCGAACGCCTCATCCAAGAATCCGTCCTGCGCGTACCTACCATAGGTAGGAAGATGCAAAAATCATAGGGAAAATGGTCAGTCAAAGTCACAGACAAAGATTGCAACTTTGAGAAAGCTCATGGAGAAGTTCTGGCTACCGTAGGATCATTGTGTTCCAGGGGATGGGGTAGGTGGACTTGGGGATCCTGTCGAAGAGAAGGCGGGTGCGGTGCAGCGGGCCGAGGGTGGAGTAGAGGTGGAGGAGTGCGGAGGCCGAGAAGGGGTCGGCAAGGAGGCGGGTCTTGACGAGGAAGGCATGGAGCTGCAGGCCGAGCCGCGGGAGGCGGAGGTCGGCGGCGGCGCGGAGGGTGCGGGGGAGGTCGGAAGGGGAGGAGGTCGTGAGGCGGCCGGAGGAGAGGCAGGCGGAGAGCGTGGCGAGGGCGGCATCGGCGGAGGTGGCAGTGGGCAGGCGGAGGTGGCCGGCTGTGGGTGGAGTGCTCTGGTGAGGAGGGGGAGAGGTGGTAACCGGGAAAGTAGCCATGGAGGCGGCCGTTTAAGCTGCGTGAGTTCCAGATAATGGTACGGAGTATTATATTCAAGGGGAAAAAACATAAAAAAGGGGGTGGCTGTATTTCAGCTTCAGGAGATTTTTAGGCGACTTGACCATGACCTTGTACTGCTCGGTCTTTAAATAAAGGAAGAAAAAACAACCTATATTTAACCGAACATATATAAATAAATAAAAATATTTATTACACCAAATAAATATTATAAAATATATAATTTATTATATGTCTACCTATCGGTACAGAAAGTGACCAACTAGTGAATATTTATAGTTTTGCTGTACGTTGTGATCGGAGGTGGCTTAACACTCAATGACACATGATTTATACTGATTCAGACAATGTGCCCTACGTCCAGTTTGGGTCGGTCGGTGACTTTATTTCTGAGTCCAGGTGCTCCAAGTCTGCAGTGGGGTTACAAACAAGAAGGAGAAAGATGGGGTGTACGAGAGGCCCGGTCGGATCCGACCGGGAAGGCCGAGAGCGACCAAAACTCCGCTATGAGCTAGGTATTTAAACGTGTGCTTGAGGGGTTGTGAGCTATCGATCTAGTGAATCTCCACTTGAAGAAGTCGATCCCATCGTTGGAGGGAGCGCATCCCCTTTTATAGATGAAGTGGATGGCTTTACAGGTGGGAGGGAGAGAGTACGGATGCTACTAAGCCTTGTTGCCCACACCGATGATGACAGTGATGATGATAGGCGCCTATAATACTGTTGATGTCACTGTAGAATGTCAGGTGCACATGGGAGGTTGCGCTGTCTTCTTCAGGAAGGGTAGATGTCGGTACCTGCAAAAATACTGTGGTATGTGAGGAGCCCTACCACGTATACCAGGTATGGTGTATCCTGACGCCCATAGTACTATCGATGCCCAGAGGCTGGGGGCTTTTTGCCGTACGAGAGTCCAACAGCGCCTACAATACTGTTTGTGTGCAGGGCGGTTGTGGAGCACTGTTTCCGCAGGCGTACAAGGTATGGTCCTGGTATCGTGGTTTGACTTGTGCGCTGCCTTCTTCGTTCGCCCCTGGTCCCTTCCGAGCGGGCGTCCCCGGTCGGATGGCCCCAGTCGCCCCTGGCCGCGCCAGTCGGAGAAGAGCGGTAAGCAGGCTTCCTACGGGTCCCCGGTCGGAGACGCGGGGTCGGAGTAGGAAGCAGCGTTTTGGGCCAGGCCTTCCAATCGGGGAGACCGTCCGGAGACGGCTGGTGTCCGAAGCGAGTGCTCCGGTCGGAGAGGTGGGCCGAAGAAGTTGACGAGCGGGTGTTTCATCCTTTGGGTAGACCTTCCGGTCGACGACCAGACTGTCCTTCCGGCCCGTTGTGTTTTAGACTCTTGGGTCGGCCTATGAACTACATGCTGTTTTCTTGGACCAAGCCCTGACGTGGAAGCCGGTCCCCGAGGGACCCCGGGTTTATGAACCCGACACTAACAATACAGGTTTGGTATCATAAATTTTGATGTATTTTCTATAAATTGAATTAAATTTATGATAATTCAACAATTCTAAAAATCAATTCATCTAAGAAGTAAGAACAGAGAGAGAGAGAGCATTATAAAATAGTCTAGATCTAATCCTATAATATACTTGTACTAACATTTATTCGAGCCTTTTCCATTCAGTTAGATTAAATTCAATTAAAATAGCTAATTTATCATTATTAACATAAATACTACTCAGTAAATTATATCGTATAACGAATGAAAATCTTTGTTAGTCCATACCAAAACGCGGAGGCAATTTTAAGGGTATGATCGTCTGTTCATTCTAGCCGCAGCTTTCAGCCATCGCCGGGCGTAAGGCTAGCAATAAGGTGTTTTGATTGGGATGCTAAAGTTTAGCCGGATAATTTTAATCTTATTTAGCCACTTTTTACTTAAATGCTATAATTAAATGGGACTAAATGGACATTTAGCCAATTAGTCACAAAAGGGTTGTTAAATGGGACTAAAGCCCAGGTTGCCTCATCTTTTAGTCACTTTGGATTTAAACACCCTGACTAAAAGAAACTTAAAAGGCTTTTTAGTCCACCAAACTAAACAAGGGTGGCTAAAGTTTAGCAACTGATTTAACTGTCTAAATTTTAGTAGCTTCAGTCTAAACAGGGCCTAATATAAGCATATAGCTAGCAGTGCTACTGTCTTTGAAGTCTATCTCTCAGTTTATCTATATAGTAGTTAGTTCGTCGCTATTAATGCCCTGCTCGTTTCGCTGAAATTTGACTTATACTAATGCTTATGCTAATTTGTTGTGAGAGAAAAAAATACTATTTCATTCACTGTAAAATACTGCTGAAGTAGTTCAAACTATTTTCTCTCGTAAAGTTTTTTAGTTTTTTGCATTAGTAATGTAAACTTACAACTTGTTTTTCCTTCTCTCTCTCTTATTTTTTTTCTTCACTCAGCATTTAGGCCATGTTTGGATTGGGATGCGAATAGGGATACAGATAGAGAATATTGTATCCCAATTATCCGTTCTTCACACCCCATTTAATTCTGATCGTTCATTTATTTCTCTTTCTCTATCTCGCTCTGTCCCAATATCAAATGGCACCTTAGTCCATGGGTCTGTTATTATTATACTTGCTCCTAGCAAGCGGCCAGACAGCCGAACAAGCCCATTCGTGTTAGTTATAAAAAAGCCCATTTGTGTTTGTAAAGAAAAAAAATGACCAAGCAGCTCGAGCAAAAAGCACTGGTGGCCCAGCGGCGGCCTGACCCACCTGACCACCACCAGTCCACCCCACCAACATGCGCCTTGAAAGCAACCCGCACGCCTGTCGGTGATCGCAGTCGGCGCAGCGGTGTTAGTGCGTCACTACTTTCCACACGCGCTCCTCCCCGTACGCATCAGTTCTCTCGTGAATCGTGATCTCGTCTGTTGCTCTGCCCTTGCCCGCGTCGGGCGTCGGGCGTTTATTTTTTATTTTTAACATTTTTTAAAAGCTATTTTCAAATCTGAAACAGTGTAATTTTGAAAATAGTTTTTAAAAAATGTTAAAAATAAAAAAAACTCCGGACCAGGGCCACCGCGAGCCAAGAAGCAAGGCACAAAGGACCAACACGACCCTTACTGGCCAAGAAGCAAGCCAGCAAGCTCGGAACACCAAATGACAGACCGCTAATTACGTCTATTGGTTTATCTCTCGTAACAAACATTGTACGTAAATCACAACCGAACCTTGTACATCCCACTGCCACTGGTGGGCAATGCAGATGCGAGTTGATTTGATGTACCACTAGCCTGCAAATTTCCGTTGATAAAGACACTTTGACACCATTAATAAATCCTCCCTGCCCGCCGTGCTTTTCTACTCTTCTCCTTGGCTGGCGAGCGGCGTCCCCTTCCTACGTATAAACGGCATCCACGTCACTCCCGATCAACGGTAATCTAATCTCCCGTCCCACGTAAATCCACACGCAAAGCAGCTCGCTGGAGCCTTTTGTTTGTTCTTTTGTTGCCTTCCTTTTCTCCGCACTCCGCACTCGTCACTTGTCGCAGTTCGCCGCTGGTGCCCCGGGGCATCCATCCAGAGCTCTGCACAAGGATTCGGCGTGCGAGGGGGGCACCGTGCAATGGCGCGGCGGTGCCCGTGCATGCTGCTGTTAGCCGTGGCGGCGGCCGCGGCCGTGCTCATGGCCGCGGCAGGGCAGGCGCAGGAGACGTGCTCGGGGCCCGTGCCGTCGCCGCCGCGGCGCGGGGCGCGGGTGTCCGTGGCCAGCTTCGGCGGCGCGGGCGACGGGCGGACGCTCAACACGGCGGCGTTCGCGCGCGCCGTCGCCAGCATCGAGCGCCGCGCCGCGCCGGGCGGGGCGGAGCTCTACGTGCCGCCCGGGGTGTGGCTTACGGGGCCCTTCAACCTCACCTCGCGCATGACGCTCTTCCTCGCGCGCGGCGCCGTCATCCGCGCCACGCAGGTCAGCCATCCAGCCTCCTGCTCTCTCATTCTCTCGCGCGCCCGCCATTGCTCTAGCGCTTCTGCCCCCGTCATGGCGTTTCGTCTTCGATCGATCTTCATACAAACAACTGTTTTTGCTAGAAGAGTGGATCCGTATTTGAGGTTTCCTTTTTTGGAGATCTCGAGATTCGATCGAATTAAGAACGACCCTAGCGATTTCCCGGAGTGGAATTAGAATGCATGGATCTAATATTGGTGATATGCCGTCGTTCATGCTCTTCCACTAACTGATGGACTTATTAAATCTATCGTCCGTTTATTTTAGTGTTGAATATTTTGGAATTATGTGCCGTAAAAGGGTGTAGAGAATACAGTTACCCAGATTTTTATATGAAACATTTGCTTTGCTCTCTCTTGGTGCAGGACGCATCAAGCTGGCCTCTGATCGAACCGCTGCCCTCATACGGGAGAGGACGAGAGCTGCCCGGCGGGAGATACATAAGTTTAATCCATGGCAGTGGACTTCAGGATGTTGTCATCACAGGTTCTTGCTTTGCGGCTACTCAAATTCTCATATTAAACTGCTACATGGTTATTGTTTCCGTTATATATTCTCAAAAAAAACCACAAAGAAATTACTTACTCCTTTAGTGAACTCCTTTCGAAGCCAAAATTGAAACTTCAATCTTCCATCGTATGGTTTAGTTTTATAAAAAAATCAGGACAAAATAATCTGTTCACACTCATACAATGGCATTCCTCCGTTTAAAATAAAATCTTCAGTTAAGTCATTCATGATGATGATAATTTGCGATGGAAACCGCAATGTGTTCAGGTGAGAATGGAACTGTTGATGGTCAAGGCAGCGCATGGTGGGATATGTGGAAGAAGGGCACACTGCCCTACACAAGGCCTCACCTTCTTGAGCTAATGAGCTCTTCTGATATCATCGTCTCCAATGTTGTGTTTCAGGATTCGCCATTCTGGAACATTCATCCTGTTTATTGCAGGTGAGCAGCACGATTCTGTTTACCTAATTTGGACCAGAATACCAACGTGTTCCTTATTCCTTATGCATCTTTACAAAGAGGAAACCACTGGGCTACTCACGAACTAAGCAGAGATGATGCACTACCATCTTTCTGCCATTTTTTGCAGTCCAGGTCCTTAGTTCCTTTGACCACATAGTTGTTTGGATGCCATCCGCAGTAGCATTGGGTAGATAGGTACAACTTGTACCCTCATTCATTTGCACCATCATAGATTGCACAAGAACTCCAGGCTGGGTGTCCCTATCGTGTCATCATAAGAGTACAAAAACTGTTAGGAGCAACCGGTGAACCATAACCGAAGTGCAGCAATTTCCAGATAATATACCCAACAAAGCCAGCACATTGATGTAGGTTCAACTTGTTTTTTTGCAACTGTTTCTAGCAAATGCGTACTTGTGGTCCAAAAACTGCTTTTATTGTCGTCCCAGCTGAGAAATAAATGCTGGATAATCTTTCCTGTGTGCAGCAATGTTGTGATCAGAAATGTGACTATCCTAGCTCCACATGACTCCCCCAACACGGATGGAATCGATCCAGGTACAGATATTTATTCCCTTGTGGTCAAGATACAGATGCACGAATGTACTCTGTTCTCGATCTTAAAGCTGGAGCTGTGGTCCAAAATTTGTAGATTCCAGCAGCAACATCTGCATTGAGGATTGCTATATTTCGACCGGTGACGATGCCATTGCCATCAAGAGTGGCTGGGATGAGTATGGAATCGCCTATGGCCGCCCCAGCTCTGACATCACCGTCCGGCGGATCACAGGCTCCTCCCCTTTTGCCGGCTTCGCGGTTGGAAGCGAGACATCGGGTGGTGTGGAGAACGTCCTTGCAGAGCACCTGAACTTCTTCACTTCAGGGTTCGGGATCCACATCAAGACCAACACCGGCAGGGGAGGCTTCATCCGGAACGTCACTGTCTCCGATGTGACTCTGGATAACGTCCGGTACGGCCTGCGGATCGTCGGCGATGTTGGCAACCACCCTGACGACCGCTACAACCGGAGCGCGCTCCCAATCGTTGACGCCCTGACGATAAAGAATGTCCATGGCCAGAACATCAGGGAGGCTGGGCTGATCAAGGGCATCGCCAACTCGGCCTTCTCCCGGATCTGCCTGTCGAACGTCAAGCTCACTGGTGGTGCCCCTGTCCGGCCGTGGAAGTGCGAGGCTGTCAGCGGTGGCGCTCTCGGCGTGCAGCCGTCCCCGTGCACAGAACTGACTTCCACGTCCGGGATGAGCTTCTGTACAAATTCACTCTGATGCCAGCTAGCTGCTACTGTGCGTATGTATCTACGAGTATGTTGTATACAGGTGTTCTAAAGCTTGGGCATCCAACCATTTATCTTCCCCAAATTTAATTTGGTTTCACTAATTAATTTGAACTTCTCTATACGATGAGAATAGTTTTTTGACTCTCATAAGACTAAACAAAAAATGTGAGTCACTAGTTTTCTTATTTACTTGGCTCAATGTTTTATTCATAAAGTACTTGTTTCTAAACAAGTCCTGCCACATCCTCTCCTTATTACATAGCTCGAAGAGCCATTTACTTTAAAATGACACTTCTATATTTTGAATTTTCAGACCTTCTTGGTCTTTTGGTTGACAAATGATGTTCTGTTTTAAAATATATTTCATGTTATATGTAGTGATACAAATTTGATGTCATAAATTAATGTTCTTTTATATAAATTTGATTAAATTGAATATAATTTGACTTATAAGAGCATCTCTGATAGTTCCTAAGCTAATAATTAGTAATCAATGAGTTTTCCAAGTGGCTAAAAAAATGTTGGGAGCATATTTGTTGGGTTCCTCCAATAATTTTCAAAATCTCACTCCTAAAATATAGAAGACAATTCTGCATCAGGAATTTCGAACTATTTATAAATCACCTCAATCATTTTTATACTCTCTTTTGTACGTTTACATTGAGAACCCTGTCCTACTTTTTATTATTCTCATATCCTTCCACCTTGGATCGATACGCACACCACAATTGGATGGTTTTTTCCAAGCGTGGAAAAATTAGGAGCTGTTGGAGAACAGTTTTTTTTAATCTTGCAAAAAAAATCTAGATTAGGAGTAGGTTTTGGAAATTCTTGGAGATGCTCTAACAACTCTAAATAGTAGATTTAATTTAGGTCGGAGGGGCATATGATTATCTTTTTTTTAGGGAACTGGGAAGATTGTCGAGGTTCTCCTAAACCGTGGTTTGTACAACATAAAAATTTGCAACTGGACGCGACGTGGGCCTATAGGTTGCGGCTACGGGCTTTGCACCTGGCACATCAGGTCTCTAGTTTTCTTTTTACATTTGTTTCTACTACTTCAGAATAACCGCAAACAAGATCATTGTGGCAGTGCTCCAACATTAGGCTGACATGCAGGTTCACGTAACTCAGTGCAGGCAGAAGCTGCGAGCGTGAGGAAATTGATACAAATACAAGGCTACGAAACATTTACCATGATAACCCCAGATTAGACATTTGTTTTCGCCACATTACAAGAGATAAACCAAGTATAGACCTTACTAAACTGGAACAGCATCGGCATTCGTCTCAAAGACAACGGTAACAGAGAAGGATTGACATACATCCATCAGGCCATCACCATCAACGATCTAACATTGCAAAGTTCAAATTGCTAATGACCATATGGACCCCGAGGTGCAAATGTAAACTGCTGGCCTCGCTGCTCAGGGAAGCGAAGTGCGAGGCTGTCAGCGGTGGCGCTCTCGGCGTGCAGCCGTCCCCGTGCACAGAACTGACTTCCACGTCCGGGATGAGCTTCTGTACAAATTCACTCTGATGCCAGCTAGCTGCTACTGTGCGTATGTATCTACGAGTATGTTGTATACAGGTGTTCTAAAGCTTGGGCATCCAACCATTTATCTTCCCCAAATTTAATTTGGTTTCACTAATTAATTTGAACTTCTCTATACGATGAGAATAGTTTTTTGACTCTCATAAGACTAAACAAAAAATGTGAGTCACTAGTTTTCTTATTTACTTGGCTCAATGTTTTATTCATAAAGTACTTGTTTCTAAACAAGTCCTGCCACATCCTCTCCTTATTACATAGCTCGAAGAGCCATTTACTTTAAAATGACACTTCTATATTTTGAATTTTCAGACCTTCTTGGTCTTTTGGTTGACAAATGATGTTCTGTTTTAAAATATATTTCATGTTATATGTAGTGATACAAATTTGATGTCATAAATTAATGTTCTTTTATATAAATTTGATTAAATTGAATATAATTTGACTTATAAGAGCATCTCTGATAGTTCCTAAGCTAATAATTAGTAATCAATGAGTTTTCCAAGTGGCTAAAAAAATGTTGGGAGCATATTTGTTGGGTTCCTCTAATAGTTTTCAAAATCTCGCTCCTAAAATATAGAAGACAATTCTGCATCAGGAATTTCGAACTATTTATAAATCACCTCAATCATTTTTATACTCTCTTTTGTACGTTTACATTGAGAACCCTGTCCTACTTTTTATTATTCTCATATCCTTCCACCTTGGATCGATACGCACACCGCAATTGGATGGTTTTTTCCAAGCGTGGAAAAATTAGGAGCTATTGGAGAACAGTTTTTTTTAATCTTGCAAAAAAAATCTAGATTAGGAGTAGGTTTTGGAAATTCTTGGAGATGCTCTAACAACTCTAAAAAGTAGATTTAATTTAGGTCGGAGGGGCATATGCTTATCTTTTTTTTAGGGAACTGGGAAGATTGTCGAGGTTCTCCTAAACCGTGGTTTGTACAACATAAAAATTTGCAACTGGACGCGACGTGGGCCTATAGGTTGCGTCTACGGGCTTTGCACCTGGCACATCAGGTCTCTAGTTTTCTTTTTACATTTGTTTCTACTACTTCAGAATAACCGCAAACAAGATCATTGTGGCAGTGCTCCAACATTAGGCTGACATGCAGGTTCACGTAACTCAGTGCAGGCAGAAGCTGCGAGCGTGAGGAAATTGATACAAATACAAGGCTACGAAACATTTACCATGATAACCCCAGATTAGACATTTGTTTTCGCCACATTACAAGAGATAAACCAAGTATAGACCTTACTAAACTGGAACAGCATCGGCATTCGTCTCAAAGAAAACGGTAACAGAGAAGGATTGACATACATCCATCAGGCCATCACCATCAACGATCTAACATTGCAAAGTTCAAATTGCTAATGACCATATGGACCCCGAGGTGCAAATGTAAACTGCTGGCCTCGCTGATCAGGGAAGCGCATCATCTGGGGCTCCATACCCGGAGGAAACTGCTGGGTACCATACATTGGGAACTGTGGCATTGGTTGTCCTGGACCTTGTGAAAACGGCAGGCCTCCAAAACCTGGAGCTTGCATCATCTGAGGACCCGGCGGTAGCTGCTGCCCACCGAGGGCAGGGTAAGGCATTGTTTGTGGCCCAGGTGCGTTTGGAAGTGGATGGCTTCCGTTGCCGAGATACTGCATGAATTGGGCTGAACCTGGAGGTAGCTGATAGTTTACATGACTTGACATCTGTTGACTTCCTTGGCCTGAAGGCTGCACCATTTGAGCTTGAGCTGAGCCCTGAGCAAACTGCAGGGCACCATAGCCTGGGAACTGTGGAGCAACACCAGGTGGGGCTTGTAGGATGGCCTGGCTAGGGTACTGTGCAGGTCCACCCAAGGAAACAACAGGTGCTTGCAGGAGTGGCTCACTGGAAGGATTAGAAGGTACAGCGACTGATGGATCTCCTGGTGGCATTACTGAATTGGTGGCTGCAGAAGGTACACTACCCTGTGCTGGTGGAATGGCAGCACCAACGTTTGGTATCGGCTGAGGACCAAGAATGGAAGGTTGATCACTGCTTGGAGTGACACTCCCCTTGGTATAATCTCTACCTCGCTCATTGTTAACCTGAAAAGAGATCATGCAATCAATAAATGAGATTTTCAAATCATCAACAAATTCAACATTATCTCATTTAGCTTTGCAGTTTGTAAGACAAAGATTGGCTCTTCAATGATTAGATTGATTAGAGGAGGTGCAGGGTACACACATATATAGGCAAGGATTCCTAGACTTGGTTTAGAGAAATAATACCAATCAAGGATATCCTAGCCTATCTCTAACTTTTTTTTGGAGAATACGCAGGAGAGCTGCGTATCATTGCATTAAGGAGAGCTGCATATGCCTATCTCTAATCATACTACCAAATATACAATAGGCGCCAGGCCTGTAGCCATCGGCCCAAAGGGCCCAACCAAGTGAGCCTAAAATCTGTCTAACACAGTTCATTCAAAATATTTTCTAGCACGATAAAACACCACAGACTACAGTAAATTTGATCATATGGAGGAACTGCTAGAAATTACCTTAACGTTAAGCTCAGTATGGCGTGAAAATGTGAGGTGCAGTTTGCAGTAGCCACCTTCATAGATGCTGTGTCCTTCTAGTGCTTCTTTTGCTGCAACCGCAGTTTGAATGTCTACCAAAAAAGCATACAGAATTTGAGAGACATGAGTGATGAGTCACATGACATGCATGGACAGTTAATTTTGTGTCCTAACAAGTTGGTTTTTACCTGGATACTGGATCAATGCTTGGAAGCCATTCTTCTCGAAAATAGCAATCTTCTGTACAAATCCAAAAGCTGAAAAGACCTGACAATTTACAGATAAAAAGTTGGTGAAAACTGCATGTATTAACCACCATCATTGTTTACTTTAACAGGTTACCTCATGAAGCACATCTATTGTAACAACATATTGCATGTTCTCAACAGATGCAAGCAGTATATTGCTCTCTGCTTCCTGCTTTTTCCCATCCTGGTCATAACAGTGTGGATACAATAACTATATTAGCAATTTAGCATAAGCACAAAATCAAAGCATACATGCTCAAAAGTAAGAAGTCCTACCACTCCAGAGCCATCTTTAGCAGAGTCCAGAAAAGGAAGGTAAGGATTAGTGAAGTCCCTAAAGGAAACAGCGAAGGATAATCAAGAGTCATACGATCCTTGAATATTACAAACCACCCAAATTGATAAGGTAAATATCTGACAGATAAAAATACTTTTCCCCACAAAATGAAATAATTCAATGGGTAAAACTTGAAGAATCCATCCATCAAACAGGATGTACAATAAAAAAGCCTCATCTCGACAACTGAGTAAACCTTACCTACTCCTGTGGCTCTGATACTTGACGTTGAGAACACTGTGTGCTGAATAGGTTATTCTCAAAGTGCAGGCCCCATCCAGTTCTGGTAGCAAATAGCTTCAACACAAGACAAATAATTATACATTTGTGTTGCAAAAGAGTACAGCAGAAAATTAATAATCAAAAGCAATACCTAGGAATGCATCTACCATCCAGTGCAGCTTTTGCAGATGTTGCAGTTTCAGCATCAGAAAACTGAATTAATGCCTACAGGCAAGATTAAAAAAAAACTTAGATAAAAGCATCTGAGCCTGGGCAAAGAAAAAAAAATAGAGAAATCATGATAGTGCTATCAACAAAATAGTGAAATACATTGCTGCTACGGATGACGGATGAGACATGTGATAGAATGAGTAAAGTAAAACCATCACCTGATAACCAGATGCTTTCTCAAAGGTAGCTATCTTATGAACAAATCCAAAAGCAGAAAATACCTGTGCAAACATACATCAGCTGTTAATACCACAGGTGAAACAGTATAGTAAAACCAAGTGCATGCATTAATATAACTGGAACGTGAAAAGATCTTAAATTGGGAGTGGCAGCCAAAGGCTTGCTGATCTCAATGCCAAGCACAACTAATATTTATATAAACATACAGAAAAGCTTACAACTAAAAGAAAGATTTCGTCAGTAATAATCAATAACAATGATTCGAGGGTACTACCACACAACTGTATATGTTCTTTTCAACCTGCTAGTGAGGATAATGCAGATGAATTTATCATCACTCCTGGATAAAATTGTGACATCAAGCTGTTACTAAAGTACAGCATCAATGCATTTCTAGGCTTTGTAAGGATTGTCTAGAGAAAGAGATCAGAAAGGAGCAAAGTTAAAAAGCATTCATTCATGCGCCAATGACAAAGAAGATTAAATCTAGCACATCAAGTTTCTACCCGAAGGGCGGGCCTGGTGCAAGCGGTAGAGTCTTACCGCCTGTGACCGGAAGGCCCCGGGTTCGAATCGCGGTCTCCTCGCATTGCACAAGTGAGGGTAAGGCTTGCCACTAAGACCCTTCCCCAGACCCCGCACAGAGCGGGAGCTCTCTGCACCGGGTACATCAAGTTTCTACCCATGGAATTCCAAAGTGTAGCTACAATATTCACAGTGGAAAGTGAGTGAACTCATTAAACTGTTCACCCATATGAACCAATAATCCACATGTTCCAATTTTGAAGCTCGCCTTAACAGCGTATTAAAGTGTGTCAACCAAATGGCACTATGGAGCATAAAGACAAGATAGTTCTTGTAAAGAAAACAAAAGATTGCAGAAAAAATCTAATCTAATCATCATTCAGAAGATTGTAATTGTAAAGTAATTCCTCTAATCAACATACAGAATATTGCATATAACTCAAGTTGGCATCTTGCAGATCTGTAATAAGAGAGCTAAAATCCCACTTGCAAGATGGTATTAAACCTGTTTCGTTAAACAAATCACTGCAACTAGACATGACAAAAAGAACGGCATATTTGTGCCAATCAAGTTCATTATATTAACCTTAGTGAAAACAAGAATATTCATTCCCTATTATTGATGCATTATATTTATGTTTCTTTTCTCTTCTTTTCCCTGGTGATGGCTCATGTTGGGTTTCAATTATAGCCTACCACAACTTGTTTGGGACTAAAAGGCTTTGTTATTGAAAATAAGAATATGTGGCACTGACTACTTCTAATCTAATTTATCTAATTTGTAAAAAAAAAACCACAAAAAACAGAATCTTCATGATGTTCCTTATCATTTTCAAGGGATGATTTTCTACTCAAGTAGTACGAGTAGTGTCTATATAACTTGGATACATCATAAGAAAGATTAAAAAAGCATCATATCGGCAGAAAAAAAAGGAATTCCAGCAATCCAGGGAAGAGCACTTGATAATAATCGTCCAAATATGCCAGCAACCAATCTTAAACGACCTCCATTGAGAAAAATGCATACACCAATCTTAGGCACTAACTACAACACAACTTAAAACAACAAGAAACTAAAACGGACATCGATGAAGGTAGATGTGACCAATCCAAAGAGGGATACTTGGATGAAAGGGTATGGGAGGGGACGGGTAGAGAGAAGAGGGACAGGGGGAGGGGAGGGTATGGGAGGGGAAGGGAGGAGTAGGGCAGCGATGAGTAAGGGAGAGGAAACAAACACACACATGTGTTCCAGATGCTGCCTGCCATGATACTCCGTGACAACGGCTTGCTAATCCATTCAGATCATGCAAAACAATGTGCTAGAAGTTACTAAGACAGTCCTGGCACATCAAAGTATTCCTGCAGATAAAATCAGTTGGCCTAAATAACATAAATCTCGATGCAACTGTTAACATCCTTACCACGTGTAGAACATCAATGCTGACAGAATCTGGCGCCACACCCTCCATTCCCACAAGCAAAACGTTGCCTGAACCTTCCCCAGTTGTCTTGTTGTTGATAATCTCCTGTCTATTGGAGTACTGAAGGTACACATTTTTCCCTCTTACCTGTGCTGGCTCTGCTGACGATGCGTAATATGATATCATGGCAATTGCTTGATTTTGGTCAGCCTGCAAAACAATAAAAGGAATTAAAAGAACATGCAGTCACCTCACATTGCTCAGGAACATTGATATTTACACATCATGGGCCATTCAAATACCACTGTTGTTTCACCAAACACTAAAGTATGCCCCCCCCCCCCCCCACACACACACACACACACAAAAATAAAATAAAATCAAAGACAAATTACATTTTTCAGTCATCTCACTTGTCTTAACCAAAAAAAGGAAGTCCATGAGAACATATGCATGGGACTTTTCTTGTGCTACGACATCTTAATGGGGTTACAATTGTTCATTTTCACTTTTACCACATATCATAGAACCTAGGCGATAAGAAAGAGAGGAGGTACAACCATTACTAATTGCAGAGTCAAATCGAATTGGTCAATTCCAGTTCCAATGACAAACCTCTATTTAACTAGCACATCCAACTCGTCGATTTAAATAAACAGCAACATGAGCCAGAGAGCATAGCTTCTCCCCCAAAACTATCTGGATAGCTAATGTATACATTACAACCACTTTGCCACAATTCAGTACTAATGGTCCCACCCATATCGTAACGCCCCCGCGTCGTCCTCATGGGCGGCACGGGCGGCCACCGACGCCACCGGCCACTCCAGCCCCTCACACCCCTATTCCCCACCTTGCCGTCGCCGGAGCTGCTCACCGGAGTGCTGCGCGGCAGCTAGGAAGGCGGCGGCGGGGCGTTCCACCCCGGTTTCGAAGACGTGCGGGTGAATCGGGCGTCTGCGGCAGCGTGCGGCGGGGAGGAAGCTGTGCCGCGGGAGGAGACCACCATGGCCGCATCTCAGGCGGATCCGGCGTGCCAGCGCCTAGATCTGGTCGGACTTGGACCTGGCGGTGGTGTAGGCCCTTGGGCGGCTGGCCACGGCAACTTGGCTACGGCCGTGCCTCCCCCCGGTAGGATCTACAAGAGGAGCCGGGCAGCCGGCCGCCACCTCACGGTGGCGCGGTGGGCCGCGCGCTTGCGGAGCGGATGGCTGCTTGGCGAGCGGCGCGGCAGGCCACGCGAAGGTGGTGCTGCGGGCGCTGGGGGACGCGGCGGCTGACACAACAAGTGCACGAGGGCCTTGGCCACGACCGTGCACGGGGTTGAGGTGCCATGGTGAAAGCTATGTCCAGTGGACCGATGGCGGCGACATCTTCGGGCGCTGTATTCTTCCTTGGAAGCGCCCATCGATCGGCCCTCTCCTCTTTGTGTGGCGTGCTCTTCCTGGGTGTAAAATCTTGACCTTCTGGTCAGGCGATGGTGGCGCCGATGGTGTCGTGTTCCTCCTTGGAGGCGTCGTTTTGGAAGCCGTGCCTGTCAGTCTGTGACGGTCGCCTCCATCGTGGCGAGAAAGGTGGAGGCCTAGCCGAGGATTCAAGTTTCCGGTGTCATATGCGGCGGAAGCTGGTCGGGAGGAGGATTTGGCACGGCAAATCGAGGGTTCCGCATCTATCTAGCAGTTGTTGTGACCACGAAATTGGCGAGGATGCCGGCATGGATGGCGCCCACGGAGTTGGCGAGGAGGCCGACGTGGGAGGTGGTGGCCAGCAGACTAGCGTTGTTGAGCTGACCTGCGTGGATGCCTCTGACAGGCAGCTGGAGGGCGTGTGCGACACTTGTACCTCGATGAGACAGCTAGGTTACTGGAAGCTGCGGTGCGCGCGCGTGGATCTCGGTGGGCGGGGTTGGCTTGGTGTGCGCCTGAGGCAGCTCCTCTTGCGTCGGTTTGGCAGTTTGCAGCGGCCTGCGGCGGGTAGCCCTGCTTTGCAGTGGCTATTCCGGTGTGGGACAACGTCTTGAGAGACGGCGCAAGCGGAGCTGATTGTGGAGGGGCTACACGGCTTGCAGCAGCTAGCCCTGCTTAGCAGCGGGCTATTCGGTGTGGGACATCGTCGGCAACGACGGCGCAAGCAGTGACGAGGGTGATTTCATCTTGAGTGTAGTGACCAGTTCATGGTGGTTGGGTGGTGGTGAAGCGTGTGTATTTGTTGAGTTGTGGTTCGAGTCGATGCCCCCATCCGACCGGCCAGAGTTGTTTTTTTCTTCTTTGAGTTGGGTTTTTTCGGTGCGTGTTGATGTCCCAATCCAACCGACCGAAGTTGTTTCTGTTTATTTTTGTCCAGTCTGGGCTTCATCTGCTTTTTAATATAATCAGCAGCTCTCCTGCTCGATTCGTTTCAAAAAAAAAGTACTAATGGTCCCGAAAAGATGGAGAGGTGAACTATTTAAATATGACCAAGTCCGATCTATACTTAGGTTCTGCCATCTCCGTGTCCACCAGACATACAAGAGGCTGAAAACGAGTCAGGACTGGCTAACATAAGCAGGGGGGAAAGCTGGTGGTACTCACGAATTCGATGAATGCTTGATTGCGGTTGGCGCCGACGCCGCACTTGGTGTTGACGACCTTGCCGAAGGGGGTACCCAGCTCGACCAGCTCCTCAGGAGTGCAGTCCCATGGCAGATTCCGCAGGTGGAGCACCTTCGACGGCGGCTGCGTGTACCGGAACTGTGGCTGCCCACCAGAAGCCATTCCTCCCGAATCTTATCCTCCAAACCTACCGGCGCGTCATCAGTGGTAAGTAAACCACATCAAGGAAGCTTTTTGCAATAAAAATAGAACGCTCTCGTAACCATGGATCCGCGGGTCCTCACCTTGCGGGTGGCGACCGGCGGCGGCGAAGCGAGTGGCCGGAGCGAACGAAGACGGGTTGGAATCGGGAACGGATCGCTGTATCGGGTGCGGTCAATCAGTCCAGTCTAATGGCTAAAGCCGCCTAGGGTTTCGTACCGAACCCTGAATAGGCCCGTTGATAGGTTATAATGGGCTTCGGCCATGCAGCCGACTCGGAATCCTACAGCCCAAAGCTCCAAACCACCGAGAAGCCAGAAGGCCAGCCCAGTTTGGACAACTCATCACATCACGATCCACTCTTCCCTTGTGGGCTCGTGGCCTCGTCGTTCGTCGCCACCGCCGGAGAAATGCCGCCGAGGAGGCGAGATCGCCGGAGACCCCGCGACCCGTCGCCGCCGTCCTCCGATGCAAGAGCGCCACCCTCCGCCTCAGGCTTGCGTCTCACCCTCCTCGTTCCTCTCCTCCTGGTCCTCGTCCTCGCCGCCCTTGGCTTCTCCGGCCTCCTCTCCCGGTCCCCTCCCCACACCCAGACGCTACAGACTACCGCCCACTCCGTCTACGAGCGCGGTCTCGTCAAGCGCGACGTCTCCGCACGAGAGATCCTCGCTGTAAGCACCTCGCGGTCGTATTGCTCGATCCAATCGGTTATCGTTATAGCTGAACTCCTTGCTAGAGTGGCCACTGACGCGGTGCTTCCCCCATCCCCCCGCTGCTGGGCCGCGTGATGCTGGCGTGCTGTATGCAGGAGCACACAAGGGTTTCCGAGAACCGGTCGCAGCGCAACTTCGCGAACCCCGTCCTCGCCTATGTGACCCCCTGGTGCGTCACTTCTGCAATTCCTTGCATGCTTATTGTATCTACCTTCGTTCGAGAACTGCTCTACTGTTGCACTATCACAATACCAAACCGCTATAGTTCTGTAGGAGGCACATGAATAGGTCAGCCACGTTCCTTGTATAACTCATCTTAATAGTGTTTTGTTTCTGGCTTATATGTAGAGTGAACCTACTGTTTATAGCAGTAGAAGTAGAACCGGGTTTCTAATGATTTTCAGCTCAAACTGGTTTACTGGGGATTGGGTTTCATGGTCTATTAACAAGTTCTGTTTAAAACTGGTCTGGCAATGGATCCCATGGATTGATAATTGGCTTTTACATTGTTTCTTTTTGTTGGTCATAGATGCCAATTTGCCTGAAAATGGATCCCATGGCAGCTAATGGCATAACATTCAAATGCAAGACCGATGATGATGAAAATCAGATTTGCGAAATCCGTCCTCGCACCAACAGGATTTCATAAATCTGATTTTCATCATCGCCGCCTCATCGTCTTGCATTTGAATGTCATGCCATAAGCTGTCATGCTTGTTGCATTAATGTGGGAGCTCATGATGCAGGAACTCCAAAGGATATGACATGGCAAAGTTGTTCAGCAAAAAGCTTACTCATGTATCACCAGTGTGGTACGATTTGAAGAGGTCTGTTGATTCCCTATAGCAAAGCAGTTTCCAATTATCTTCCTTCATCAAGCTGTTTTTCAAATGCATAATTTCTTCAGTGATAGGAACAGGCTAGTTCTGGAAGGAGAACACAATTTTGATGCCAAATGGGTCTCTGAACTTCAAAGCAATGGGTCTCTGGTAACCATCTACTTGTCTTCCTCCTGTTTTCCTTTACATGGGCTATATTACGCGTCGTGTTGAACTGTTGGTCAAGTTGGCATTGTCTAATCTATGATGTGATTTGATCTCTAAATTTATCTCCAGGTCTCCAGGCTGTATTTGTGTTTGTGTCGTATCCCAGAAAAGTTGGATTTTGTCCCCAATAGCATGAAAAATATAAAATAAAAACAAAAAAAGTGGTACTTCAATCAGATTAGCTTAACTGCGGGTAAAAATGATAGGTTAGCGATGTTTTGTACTTTTATTTGTTGTCCGCATAGTACATACAGTATGGGAGAATGAATGTTTTCCACAGTTGAGTTTTGGCTTTCATTCTTGTTTTCCAGGTAGTACCGAGAATTGTCTTGGAAGCATTTCCTGCTGTTTTACTATTGGAAAAGAAGCAAAAAGAAAAAGCTATTGACCTAATAGTGAGTGAATGCAGGTAAAATCCTGTACCATCTCATTTCCAGATAAACATATGCTTTATGATGGCCTGACTTCTGGCTGTCAGTTAATAGGGATAAGGGCTATGATGGTATTGTGCTCGAATCCTGGTCAAGATGGGCTATTTATGGTGTGCTGGATGATCAAGAGCTACGTTACATGGTACTTCAGTTATCATTCTGCAGCAACATTGTTTCTAACAAATGAACTTACATGGTCTGTCCCAAATTATAGGTCGTTTTGGCTTTTCTAGGTACATAGCTTTTGCTATGCACCTAGATCTACGATATGTCTAGATACATAGCAAAAGCTATGTACCTAGAAAAGACAAAACGACCTATAAATTGGAACGGAGGGAGTATAAGATTTGCATGCTTTTCATCATCATATTACCTTTCTGAATTAGCAGTTGATTGCACCAATAGGCTCTCCAAACTATAGAGAAGGCTAACAAAGCACATGCTTTGTGAACCATATACCACTAAGAAGAACACTTGTCAGGCTGTTCTTGTATTCTCGAATCCATGCCAAACAATTCTGTAACTCCAAACTGAAAGTGGAAAATTTAAAATATATCACCTTTGTTTACATATCCATGACAGATCTGAACAGACATCATACTTTTTATTAGTACAAGATTGTATCTGGCATGTTTAGAAAGAAAGATTAAAATGGCAAAAACATAACCCTGGTTGAAGATCTTTTAGCAAGCAAGTCAATTTTGGCTAACCAATCACACAGATGATCATGTTTTTTGCATGTTAATGATACTGCCATTGCAAATGTTGTAGAACAGTACATTGACTGTTGAGGAAAAATGACGGTTAAAATAATTGACAAAGATTTTTCAGAGGCTCAGAGCATTGAAACATCATCAGTTGTTTATATCACTGGCGGTTATTCTTCATGATCATTTTGTGGTTTTCGACAGGCACTTCAGTTTCTTAAGCAGCTGGGGGAGGCTTTGCATTCAGTCATTTCCAAATCAAGTAGCCGCCATTTGGAATTAATTTATGTTATCCCTGCTCCGAGAATGCAAAAGCTCAATAATCAGGACTTTGGACCAGAAGATCTCATGCATCTGGCTGACACTTTAGATGGTTTTTCTCTTATGACATACGACTTCTCAGGACCTCAAAATCCTGGTCCCAGTGCACCTCTGAAGTGGGTACATGATTCTTTAGCAGCGCTTCTTTCAGCCAAAGGTTCCTCTCATAGCAATTCACATTCACAGATGATATTCCTTGGGATCAATTTTTATGGGAACGATTTTCTACTGTCTAGAGGTACATATAACTCATCTTTCTCCTCTTTTCTTTTGACATGATCAAATAAGCTTCTGTATAGCTGCGGGCAACAAAAGTTCACTCCTGTTTCTTCTGTATGCTGTTCGGATTTTCACTAAACTTACAGATAACATGTACTTGATGTAGTTTAACATGATCATGTTGATGTTCCATGGGGAGGATGTGGTACATTTCCCAAGTGTGATCTGAAATTATACCTTCTTGGAGTTTATATTTGACCTACACTAGAGAAGTTAGGTTTCTGATGAACACTGATTTTATGCTTCTCTGAAAAAAAAAAACTTAATTTCATTAGTCCTGAAGCAGTATTACAAAATGTGGGAGTAGTGAATACAAATCGAAAGATCAATCTGTTCTGAAGTTTGTGCCTTTTACATTTTGGGAAATTTTCAAAAACCATCAACAAGTCAGGGTTGGTCAATAGAACCCAGTTCCTGTGGCCACCAGGTTGGATGAACTCCACCTCCTAGTGGGCATACCCAGTGCAGAGAGCTCCCGCTCTGTGCGGGGTCTGGGGAAGGGTGTCAGTGGCAAGCCTTACCCTCACCTGTGCAATGTGAGGAGACCGCGACTCGAACCCGGGACCTTCCGGTCACAGGCGGTAAGACTCTACCGCTCGCACCAGGCCCGCCCTCCACCTCCTAGTGACTGAGAAGTATTTGCTTCCCACCAGGTCATGCGCCCTGGACATCCTGTCCATCCAAAACATTGATTGGCCTGCTCGGTAAAGATGGCTGCAGCTGCTCCAGCCTCACCTAACAGCTACAGTAGGTGACAGGTAATGTAGTATGCAGCAACAGCCTAAAAAGCTGCAGCCATCTCTACTAATCAGCTCGACCGGAGGGTAATGGAGCCATCATCATTCTGATCCACCTGCACCTTCTCTGTCCTGATCTCTCGACCCTGCGTGTGCGCCTCCCCCACCTCTTCCTCCGCCTCCCTCCCAGATCCACGGCCTCTCCCGGCTCCGGCGGTGCTAGCGCCGCAGGAACTGCCGCCCTCCACCTCGGCCAGCATTAACCACTCCAAGCATGACGCCCCTGCCTCCATACATGCCCAATTGCCATCCACCACTGCTGCAGTGGGCGGTGCCCCACCTCGCCATCCCGCGCACCACTTGCGACCACCACGAAGCGGGCAACTTCCCCAGCCATCCCTCTATATCCGGAGGCCACCAAGATCTGAAAAACCCAAACCCCAACCCCCCTAATCCACTGGAGTTAATGGAGATGCAAGACATGAAGAAGAAGCCCAGTGCTGTGGCGCGACTCAGCTTGATTCCACGTCGGATGCTCACATGTAAAGTGTTCTTTGAACGCGCTAGCGTGTCTAGTCAGTCACGCCAATGCATGTGGCGTGACTGTAGTGATGAGTCGCACCATATGGCGTTTGGCGCGACTAAAAGGGCTAGTTTCTGAAAAAATAGTTTATGACGTGCTTTTTTTAAAACATTAATTTTCTTGGGATAAAATAAAATAATAATT